AGCGTGCCAAGGTGGCTATGTTAATGTGAGAGATGAGCATGTCAATGTGAGAGATGAGCATGTCAATGTGAGAGATGAGCATGTTAATGTGAGAGATTAGCATGTTAATGGGAGATCGCCGAGCAGTAAACTCGAGGATGGCGCGCGAGGTAGCTGTGTTAGTGTGAGAAATTAAATCTGTTAATGTAAAAATCGGAGAGCCGAAAATAACAACGAACATCGGAAGGTGGTAGGATGGGAACATCACAGCCAGTTATGACCTAAACTGGTTGATAACGCCCTTCCAATGATTGCTACGTTTTGTACCCATCTTCTCGGTTGAAATTGTGTCTGTGTCTATATATATCGATGGCTTCATGAACGAATTTTTTTTGATAGCCAGTGAGTTTCCAAAGGACCTTCGTCTTAGAGAAATCAATTTCGTGTGAGCCCACCGCATTAAAACACTGATCGTTACACTTAAAATTAACAAGAAACATTGTGCATTTGCATGTAACACGATGTAAAAAAAGACTGTATTGTAAATAAAACATTAAATTAAGCAAATAGAAACAAATCTTATATTTTCACTTCCCTTGACTCCTGATGCAAGCTTGCTTGTCGGAAAGGGGGCAATGAGTAATCACAGTTGCACGCACACACACACACATAGACCAATACCAACAACCTCCATTTGCCACGAAATGGCGGTGACGTCATCACGGTGCCTGTGCCAGGCCACGTGCACTTTGAGGCCACATGAAGTGTCGAAGGCTTTCTGACAGGTCTCGGGACACACCCAGGTGCCATCGTTTGGCTGAGATGACTGGTAATTGCACCCAGCTGCACCCCCAACTGCGCCAACTTGCTGTATTTTAGCCGCCCGGTACTCCACTCGTTGTTGTGAGCATTGCTCCCCTCTGCCCTCCGTTGTTGCTGGAGGACGACTGCCTCCAACTGCCCAGTAGCGTCCTTCACGAGCCTCCTCCATAGAGGCCGATCTTGACACCGCTGGTACCAGTCGTCGGCAAGTCTATTCAGCTCCACTTCCTCCCATACCACATCACTCCATCTCTTCTCCAACCCGTATCTTGCCCGTTCAGTCCCTTCTATCCGGCCAAACAAAAGCTGCTTGGGCATGCGGTGGCTTGGCATGCAGGCTACATGACCCAGTCACCGCAGGCTTTGTCTGCTGGAGGAGCTCCACCGATGGGAATGTGTCCAGATCTTTCAGGGATTTGCGAGCTCGTCACACAGCACGTAGGTTAAACCCAGGATGGATCGTAGGCAGGCCAGCCTGAATGTTTCTAACCGGCGGAGATGTTTCATTAGAGGGGTCCACGTTTCACAAGTGTATTGCGAGCGTAAATGGGAAGGCCGGATGTGACGATCCGAGAGGGAGGAGTCAGGGTCACGTGGGAGAGAGGTTATAGGAGGGAGCCCGGAAGAGATCAGGGCCAGTTGCTGGAGTGAAAAGGCGGGACCACGTTGGGTGGCCGCCGCGCCATCAGCCACGTGGCTGATGGGGCTTGGGACACCGTCAGCCAGGCGCACGGGGCTAGCGGAGTGGCTAGCGGAGTGCACGGGGCTAGCGGAGGGGCTAGCAGGGCGTGCGTGGCACGCGAGAGGAGACGCTGGTCCGAGGAGGAGGCCAGCGGGGTGCGGAGGAGAAGAATATAAATAAAGGACCAACGGAGAGCGACATCTTGTGACCGAGTCCTTTATTACACAAGCATAGAGAAGGGAGAGCATGACTGTTGGCGAGAGGACCTGAAGCTTTGTGCGAAGCGGGACCGGGTAGCTTCCACACAGCATTACGCAGCCGATGACATGCCACCCAACCTCTGCTGTCAAACCGGAGCTGGTCATAAGCACACTACCTGGGTATGGGAAACTCTCCACTCTCTCCACGACTGCTCCATCACCAATGGGAAGCTGAGGGGGTGGAGTGTTTGGTGGCATAAAATGCCCAGGCAGATGCTTATTTTTGATAGGGATGATGGTAAGACCGACTCTTAAGACACATTAACAACAACCGCCATTCGCCACCAAGTCACCACAGCGCTTGTGCCAGGCTATGTAAACGTTAAGGCCATGCGAAGTGTCGAACGCCAGCTGGCAGGAGGTCACGGCACGGACCCAGGTGCCAAGAGTTGATGGCCGGTGTACCACCTGTGACCCAATTGTGCCAAATTGCTGTTTCCCACCACTGGGGGTGGGGTGGCACGTGCCCGCCCCCCCCCAATGATCCGATCTTAATCCCTAATTTAGGGATCGAAATCCCTAATCTCGATCGGATCATTTGGGTTTATTAGTAATAAATAGGAATTTTACGACCCCCACTGCCACTGTGTAGCATATTATTGCGTGCCATGGACTCTATGAGATGATAGGACAATAGTCTGAGTCCATAATTGGCAGTAATGGCAAAGCAGTTATAAGTGACTCAGAATTGTGCGTAGTTGCGTATACAGTACACGACTTCCCTGAAGGCAAACACCTTCAGCGAGCGCGATGCCGATCACACGTGGTTCGAATTCGACCCTCGATGGATGGCTGCGCCATCGCCACACACGCGTCGAATAAGAGGCAAGGGACAAGTTCTTACTAACAACTCCTCACTTACTAACAACTCTATCATTTTTCATTGCTGGAGGGGTTGCCCCCCCCCCCTGGCCTCCACCATCGTTTCCCACACACACACAAACCCTTACTCCCAGCGCCAGGTCGGCTCACTACATCTCACGGAGGAACGCTCATCTGAACAAAAGAGTTTGCGTGGTTCAGTTTGCAAATGCGAGTTCGGGTTTTAAGTCAATATTTTATATTTCATGGAAGTTGGTTCATAAGTCCGGTCATTGGCAAGTCGAAGTCTGCCTGTGTTGGGTTTCTCAAACTGTTCGCGCCACCATGCTTGGCCCTTTGTACTCCTCACATCTAGAACTATACTGTGCAGGATTTCACCTTTTCCAACATGTGGTAAAAGTCCCCGGTCCCCTCCACCATCCTAGCATCACATTCCCTCCTGCTCACAACCGCGGTGTAATCTTAAGACCCCTCCCTCTCCAACCACATCTTGCCACAACCAGCACTTTGTTTTCACATTCCATCAAATCCGTCCCATCTCACTCCGCTGTGAAAGTCTTGAATCACTCCCTCGTTTTCACTCACCTTGACGACTGCAAATCTCTTCTTCTCACCCTTCTTGCTTACACCTTTGCGCTTTTAACGCATATGTAGTGACATAGCAATGTTGTACAGCAGCTGAAACTGCAAGTGGGCACTTAGCACACCTCGTGGGGAAGCCCCCCAAAACCCTCTGGTTCCAGAAGGGAGGCAGCGGCTTGGGTGGACCAACGCCGAGGGGAATAAAAGCAGCGGAGAGCGAGAGCTCGGGGCTGCCGGTTCCTGGAGTGGACTCATCTCGTCGTCGCTGTCGCCATCGCCGCCGCCGCCATCGTCCGGTAATTTCGCGGCCGGAGTAGTTGGCCGTCTCGGACGACGCCGTCAGTGGAACGCGGACAGGCTCGTGTCTGGGACGGTCGTGCGGCAGCGTGATCGTGGGAGCCCGAGTGGTGGTGTGAACCCAACAACAATAAAAGGGGAGGACAGTGCCTCCTGCAACTACCTCGTCTTTGACTGTGTGCGATGCACGCCACCCGCACACACAGACACTATACATATATATAATTCCTAATCCCGGATTATATTTAACCTCCCCCACAATTATGCTCTCCTTTCCCAACTACACTGGCTCCCCGTCTATCGCTGTCATTTTACATTTCTGACAGGGGTGTTTAAATCCCTCCATGGTATTTCCCCACCCAATGGTCTTTTCCCACCCCTTTATTTTCTCATATCTTACCGTGTCCAAGCCCCGTCGTCTTCGCTCCCAATCTCGACTGTCCCCTTGTGTACCCCCCCCCCCCCCCCCCACTTTCACCCTGCGCCCAAACAACCACGCTTTCGTTCCTTTTCCCTTCTTGCCTCCACTTCGCTGGAACAAACTACCTCTGCACATAAAAACAATCTTCACCATCCAGCTGGAAAGAGGCCATTGTGCAGGCGATATTAGAAACGCAAATAGACCACGAAGCAATTACCAGTACCTTTAATTGTTGTGAGACTTACTTGAATATAAAAGTAACACTTTTCCATTAAATGGGCTTAAACAATGGTTGGTTGTGTCGTGATTTTGTTAAGTCTTGGGGCGGATTTTTGTTATTTTTATTTGTAAGAATGGAAGTAGTGGGAAAATATGGTTCCGATTGACGGAATTCCGCTTCGTGAACTTTTAACAAACATATCCATTCCTACCTGTATGCGGACTTCAAAAAAGGTATGCAAGAAAAAGTCAAGCGGTCATTTTATCTTGCCAGGTGATAATCCATTTGTATGTCATTTTGGAAACGTTAACCGTCCTAAATACAGTTCTCCCAAATGTATTTTGCCAATCTATATTTAATGAAATTGTTTAAAAAAATACACTTTAGAACTGAACTTAGTTGCCTACCACATATAAGACTTTACAAACATTCCACTTAGCTGTTGGCAAGTCAAAATCTAGTTTAGTGGTAATGGTGTGTCAAGTAAAGATCAACAAGTGGTAAAGACCCTTACACCCACTTGTGAATGTAAATATAGGTCTTCAATTATTCTCACAAACGAATGCATTCGAATGTCAAATTATCGTTAAAGGTTCAATAGTTACCATACAGAAAATCCTCCACAGCTTGGTATAAAGACGTTTATTAAAATGGCATCCATTCTCTAAATATCAAGTTGAATAAACTACGTTTTGTATAAAATAGTATAAAAAATAAAAATAACCTAGACATAAAAAAAAACAAAACCAGAGAAAAAAAACACAAAACACAACTTCAAGTTTTACAAATGGAAATCCAGCATCAATATTTACAGATTATTTAAGCATTGGACAAACCATGATTGGGAGAATCCTTTTACTTTCGGTTACAATTCATAAATGTGCCACAAAAAAAAACCAGTCGCATCACTCCGCATTGAGGTTGCGCAATGATTGATTTGCCAGTGCGTTTTATTGAAGTATCTACTGCTGATTACAGTCACATTGTGCCAATGGTAGAAATCACTCAACTCGCTGCCTTTGCCCATCCAAGATGCCCTAGAGCAGTTCATATACACCAGAAGCAACATTTCAGATAATATTACTTTGGTTTAACACGTAAGCTTTCGCGACCAATATCATCCATAAGAGATTTTTGGGTTAGATCGCGTAAATAATGTGTCGCCACGCAAACAGAACGTGCCAATTTGTCACATATCTGGCTGTCGCCTGATGAAGCTAGTTGTAATTACTGGTGAAACGTTGTACTCAGATTATAAATGTTGTGGCTTGGCTCTCCTACACTGGTGATGCTGTACTAGTGACGAATTGCCATGTTCTGTTTATGTGACAACCGTTACTAGTTGGCTGTGTTGGGTGGTGGCGGGTTTTAACGACACATATATTTATACGATCTAACCCAAAAACCTCTTATGGATAATATTACTTTGTTACAAGTTGGTAATGCTCCATTATGAAAAAAGGTCAATCTTGCCATTTCATTTTGGCCGCACCCCTTGATTAAAATATCTACGGTTAACAATATCTACACTGGCCCATGGTTTTTGTGGGACTGTACATCGCATACACTGCCTGGACAAAAATACCGGTAAAAATTTACCAAAAACCCACTAAAGTACTTTCTAAAAACTGAAAGAAATTAAATGGAATAAAACGGTTTAAAAAACGCCAGTTCTCTCGGGGGGGAAACGAGATAACTTTTCAGGAAGTCCTTAAATTGCCAACAGCTGTGTCTTTCGAGCAAATGTGCGTATGCGGCCGATGACACTCGCTATAGTCATTAACGTGTTCGCTTGCATCTCATCATTGTTTTTGCTCACGGCCAGTTTTTGCCACCGTCGCAAGTGGCCTGGTCCGATTTAACCTCCAAGTAGTCTACATTGCTGCACTTGTCATCGGAGTGCCCCTCCTCCTCCGAGACATTCCCCTCGCCCCAGTTGTCGCTGTTGTCCGTCACATCGGAAGCCGCATACCCATCCCCGCGCTCCCCGCGTCGAGCAGCTGCAGCGTGAGCAGACAGAAAGCGGAGGTTAAAAATTAGTTACCAATGTCCATTGCCCTTTCCTAGAAAATCTGTCGGTCTCCTGTAGATGCCTCACGGTAGCAAGTGGTCGACATGAAGCCTGTAATCACTCGTAGCCCATCCCATGCGTTGGCATCCAAATCTATGGGGCAGCAATCAAAATGAAGCCATGCAGATTCACACAAATTTGAGAATTGTTTGTGGAGGTTTAAAATCATTAAATTAGTATTTTAAAATTCCACGTTGTTTGAGGAAATTATGAGCATCTCCCATGTTTGCAGGGAAAAACATCGGCACTCCGTGTCCTTGCAGATTTGTATTCAACCATAGACCATATTTTCATAATTTCAGGCCTTTTTTGGGTTTCACTCGTTTAAATATTAAGGAATGCCACTCGTTGAGTTTTCATGTAGGGTCAAGGGGTGGTTATAAGGTTCCGGGTTAGGGTTTGGGGTAGTAGTACCCAACACTGCTTTTCTTGCAACATCAGCAGGGACAGCAGTGCTCAAGAGTGTTTCTTGTTCCGCATCTTTGGAGATGGTAGGTAGTCTTTATCAAACATGGCATCCACAAAGCAAAGAAATAATCACATGGATTACACCCAGCTAGTATTACAGCTCCTTGCATCAGTTAACGAGAAGATTAAGCAAGACTAAACACTTAAAAATTAATACATTTGTATTGTATTAACTTTTTTGTACCAATTACACTGGTCAACAAAAAAAACATTTTTTTCTGGCCTGGACTTTTGCAGCTGTTTGAGACTAATTTCAGGGTGCCGATTCCAAATCTGATCTGAGATTTGCTCTATCACATCTCATTTTTATGCTATCGGCATATCCCATTTTCATTGATTTTACCCGAAATTAACTCTGTCACTTATGATTGCAAGTTGTTGCGAATCAGTGACTGCTTTAGTGTTAAAATATGGTGCTGTATTTTTAGGATAGTGTTTATAATATAATTTTATGTAGATATCCACATTAATTTAATATTTTTCTTCTGCAGTTTTTATTGAAAATGCAATATTTGATATCTCAAAAACCTGATGTGATAGACAAAAACTGATGCCAGATTTTGAATCAGCCCCCCAAAATTACATTAAAACAGTTGGAATACCTTATGCCAGAAAAAGTGTGTTGACCAGTTATCTTTTGCATAAGCACCCATTTTATGAAAGGTTCTCAAGTAGAACTACTTGTTAAAAAAATAGGAAAAGTAGTGTCCTCTCTACCTTTTACTTCCTTGAAATTATACAAATCTTCCTTGTACGTATAATCTGTCGTTTTCTCGTCCTCATCTTCCGTTTGCTGTTTTCACACATGGTCACAAAAGCAGACATGCCATCTACTGAAAAACCACACTTTCAAGTAGAAATTAAATGGATTTTAACAGCAGCTTGATAAATCCATACATTTATAATTTCAAAAGTTTGTTTGATAGTGGTTGCATTAAACGGTTAAGTGTCATTTATAATCGTCGCCTATTGTTCATTTGCTTTGAAAATACTTAAGCGATTTCTGATTTCTTTGAAGTGTGAACTCTTGAATCACATTGTATTCCATCGCTGTTCATAAAGGCTCACTTTTGAAATGCATTTTGCGCAAAAGTTATATTTGTTAAGCTAGGCATATTTAGTACATATTTAGTGACTATGTTTGGAAGTAATGGTGACTGGGCTGGTCTCCACTACTATCCAGGTCACAAAGGCACTATATTCTTTCCCAAACAACATGCTCTAAGCAGGCCAATTCTCCACGCATTGAATCGGTAATGCTTTTGTGGAAATTCAGACCACCTAGATTTTTATATTCTTAGGTTTTTTTCGGTTAAGTCACGTAAGTAAAACATCAAAATAAAATAAAAATCACGACGTTTCGGAGGCAACACAAGTCTCCGTCATCAGGTGGGACCGTCACAGCCGAATTAGCTGCATCAAGATGCAGCTAAGGTGGGACCGTCACAGCCGAATTAGCTGCATCAAGATGCAGCTAATTCGGCTGTGACGGTCCCACCTGATGACGGAGACTTGTGTTGCCTCCGAAACGTCGTGATTTTTATCTTATTTTTATTTTGATGTTTTACTTACGTGACTTAACCGAAAAAACCTAAGAATATGAATCTTTGCAGTCACGAAAGCTTCAAATCTACACCTAGATTTTGCCTAAATTGTCATTCAGGCTGGTTAGAATTGACTGCGAACTTGCCTGAGCAGCATCGATATTGGTGGTTAATTGTCACAGACCATACCAGCCTTAGAAAGTTTGGAATGGGGACCCAACAAGCAACATCCTCAGGCTTATAAAAATGTAACTTAATAATTAGATTTTTTCCAAGCCTTAAATGCCATGAGAGAACCCGACAGAAAAGAAGCAGACACTTGAAGGGAAGATTCAGCATACGTGGAAATGTGTCATCAGCATAACAATTGAAGTGGAAAGTTTGCATAAAATATGGCCAAGCCTGGTCTCATATCTCCAAGAGTGGGCCATGGACTTAACCAGAATGTGAATCAGAATGCTGCCCTCAAAGGCTGACAAACTGCTTCAGATCGGAGTAAGAACATTTGATGTTGTGCACTCTTATGCGTCCAGTCCATCACGAATGCGCATTGATCACAGGTTGAAGTAGGCTCTCTGAAACAACACTGTTTTGAGTCTGTTGTGGAACTGGCTCAGACTCAGGGATGAATCCCGAACATGAGCTGGTAGCGGTCTTCCAGGTCTTTGGGCCGAAGACCCCGAAACTGCGCTGGCCGTATCACACGTTTACACACAGGTAAAGGAGGTCGCCACGAGCCACGGATCGTAGTCGATTTGGGTCTGTTAAAGCTGCTACGCACTGATCGGCGAGATAGGACGGAGCAGATTGATGGAGACTCTTGAAGACGAGTAGGCATAACTTATACTTGATGATGATTGCTTGTGTTGCAATCGAAACGTCGTGAGAATTTAATTGTTTTATTTGTATTATTTTATTATTTCCCTTCTACGTGACTTTACCGAAAGAACCAAAAATATGAATCCCTGCAGTCACGAAAGCTTTAAATCGAAATTTATACTTAATCCTGTATTTAAATAGGTAGCCAGTGCAGCTTATCGTGTATCAAACTCGTGATCAGATCATATTTACGTTTCCTATCAAACGAGCTGCAGCATTTAACACCGACTGGAGTGGCTGCAGGTAAACAGAGCTGGCACAACCGAAGATGATGTTGCAGTAGTCCACGCGGCTGATCATGAATGTGGACGAGCATCCTCGCAGTGTTGCGGCCGTTACGTCCGCAAATTTGCGCGCGTTATAAATTGCATGATTATTATTAGAGCACGACGGACTGTGCACAGTTGTCGAAGCTGGTAGCACTGTCCAGTCAGGCGCCCGATGTGAGTGGCAAATGTCCAATTCGCTATCGACAAGGACACCAAAAGCCATGTATCCTTATCCAACACTGGGATGTCGCAGCCGTCAATGTGGATATGCTCACATTTAACTCTGGAAACCTGATGGTGGGTCCCAAGCATGATGAATTTAGTCTTAATCGAGCTTAAGATGGTTTGTCATCCAGTTCTTTATGTCATTGAGATACAACAGGAGTGGAACTTGAGACGCACGAGTCAGCTTTTGTATTAAAGTAAAGTTGTGTGTCATCGCCATATTAATGCACGCCGATACTATGACAGCGGGCGATGCCGATGACATATGATCCAAATCGGAAAGTGGATACGTAACAATTGGAAGAAAACGTCTGAAGAGGCTGGTGCTTTAAAATGGGAGTAGGTGAAGGAACCGAAATGTTAACCAACACCACTGATCGGACACACCAGGGTCAACAATGGATAAGGTTAGCTACAGGTGGTCCTGGAGTGCGCAAGTCCAAAATGATTGCAAATATGGGTCAAGAGACTTAACATATTGAGTGACATTGAAGCAATCCAAAGTAGCCAGGAAATGCCTAGCAAAATCGGATATCCTTCGATTCTAGTACTATATGCTCAAATGATTGAAAGGCCGACTGGGGGGGGGGGGGGGCAGAAGATCAAGACTTTCCCCGAAAAATATATTCACTGGGTAGGGGCCTGGTATTACGGCCAGCTCGGGTGCATGAAAACCCGGGGCTCGCGTGGGGTCCCAAAACCCTCGTCTGTCATAGTACGTATTCATTATTTAAAGAGGAAAGTTCAATTTCGATTTAAAGCTTTCGTGACTGCAGGGATTCATCTTCTTGGTTCTTTCGGTAAAGTCACGTGACTTTACCGAAAGAACCAAGAAGAGGAAAGTTCAAGACAAGTACTACGGATGGAGTGTGAGGGTTGGAGACAGGGTGGGAGATTGTGTGGAGCTAAGATAAGAATCCAAGTCCTGTTTAATACGGAGCTCAGACCAAGGAATCGCCACAATCCATTATGGCAGTGTACTGGCACAACCCATAACAACTGTCGTTTTAACCTAGTCCCAACGTGTTCATACAGTTCCGCAATGCCTCGTGTGCTCATCCTCCACCCGATGTCCGAGCCGCTACCATTTCCGTGCTCGCAACAAACCGCTACACAAACACACAAATCACCTCGTGTGCCCACAGCTCTGCAATCGCACACACGGATGGTTAGACCTCCTCTTAGCCTGCTAAGAGGAGGTATTATGGCATGCAAAGGTGGGCACTTGGGGCTCCTGGGCTGAGCCCTACCTCTTCTGATCTCTCGCTTCGGTCTTGTCTACCACTCTGTTGCTGCAAGATCCACCACCAGGCCTCAGTCCTCCGCATTGGATATTGCCCTAACAAGAGCACCACCGCTGGTTGGTGCATCTCCTGGCCACCGGTTTGGCTTCTTCTCCGACTAATCTCCTGCCGTAACCTCTCTCGTCCATGACTTCTTTGCTTTCTGCACACCTCTGCTCTCCAGCCTGCACAACCACCAGGCCCCAGGCTAAAAGGCTGTTTTTCTTGTGAAAGCGACAGTTGTCCACGAGTGCTCCTGGTTTGATGTTGCACTCCTCTGACTTTGAACCCCTCCATGGTCCATGATCATTCTGGTCTGGCTCAACCCTTTATAGATGTGGTCAACTACTCTTTGCTGCCTTGCCATTGACGATCTTAATTTTGGAGCTTTGACGCATTAGCCTAATTTTGGGGGTGGGCCACCTGTTCCTACTTGGGGCTTAAATTACCCCTACTTGACTTAATCAGCCCTCATGACACCTCTGACAGTTGGTGGCTACTGATTATGTCAGTGGCAGACCTGCCCGGACCAATTCTACCACACTTGGTCAAACATGTAGATACAGTTCAGGCCTGCACTGACGGAGTGTTCATTGACCACTGCGTGACACCTGGTTTCACAGATGATCAGCTGGCTGGTATCATGTCTCTGCGAGGCATAATTAATGTCGTTGATGAACTCATCAACAATGTGTGAGTAGGAAAGGGCCGCAGGAGAAAATTATTGACTCCCAAACATTTGGGCTCCGGCTTCTGACAGTGACCACACAACACGGAGATTGCACGAGGCCACCAAGGTGGTAGTCGTAGGTCTTTGCCATGACCATTTCCCCCGATGGATGTAGGGAAGGCGACAAAAAATCTTCATTTGATGACATTTGGCCTCCAGATCAGGGATGATATGCAAGGATGTAGGCCGGAGACTCAAAAGGACTGCATGGGTGAACATCATCACAGCACGCCATAAATCCACAATGGTCTAGTTGTGAACAGAGATGAGTACCTGTGTTGAAGATTTAACCTCGCCACACTTACAAGCTAGGCTCCTGCCAAGGAAAGTTGGACATGCTGTGTGGCAAGCTGGTCGAAAAACTCTTCAAGCCAGATGAATCAACGGTGAGCTGGTCACAAACCGAGCATGTAATGATGAGGCGGCAGTCAAGCCCACAGAAGCAGAAGAGCAGCGCCACCCAAGTGATCAAAGGTTGCCTGTCGATAGAGGCTCACCAGCCATGCAGCACAGCACACAGGCTTGCGAGTTGGGTAGGCCTCGCGGACTAAACCGTAACACTGTTTCATCTAAGGGTCGTGATAGAGGCAGGCAGGGGGTGTCGTACGTAGAGGCTCAGGGGAGGCAGAGCCAGAGGCACGCCAAGGCTGGACCCTTAAGACAGGAGCAGGAGGCGGACTGGTAGGTCCGACCACGCACCTATCTCACCTGGAATTATAAATGGCCAGGAAGTCACTAGTAGCTGGGCAGCCTTCGTGGGTCTATGCCCACAGGATATCCGATTAGCACGGTTGGCTATGTACGGTGCAAAAAAAGTTCATACATTCAGAGAAGGGAAGGTGTAGGAGGAAAAAACCCCAAAAAGAAAACAGTAAAAAATGTAAAACACAAAATAAGAAAAATAAAACCCAGATAAAATTTAAATACGGCTTTTAAAACTGTAACATGTTTACATTAAAAGTTACTGTTAAAACAAATAAATACAAAGTAAGATTAAATAAGCTTTAATAAAAATAAGACACGGTAAGATGACTTAAAATTGTTTAACTACAAAGCACAGAAAGGCATAAGGAAAAAGGGCAGTATGCCCACCAGGATGCTCTCCCGTGTGTCCAATTAACGTGACATACTTATTAGGTGGCACGTTACGTCTATGTGCGGAGAGAAAAACTATTTGGGGCATTCCAGTGTGAACATGTTATAACCAACATCATGGGACCTCCTTTTCCAGCACCAAAATATGGGAATAGGTATTCCTCTCTTTCTGTCAACAAAACAGGTGTTACGATGTTACAACATCAAACTGAAACCTTTTACAAGGAATCATGTCTGCATGAACCACAATACTTGTGGTGCTTGTCCTTGTGCTGTATGCACCGTTTGAGACTAGGCTCAAAAGAAAGTTGTCTCTGGTGTGGACCAATCAGTTTAAAAAACAATGTATATATTATCAGTGCTTTTTGTTTGCATTCTGACTACAAGTATTGTGGTTAATGCAGACATGATTCCTTGTAAAAGGTTTCAGTTTGGCGTTTTAACATCGTAACACCTGCTTCGTTGCCAGAAAAAAGAGGAAAACCTATTCTCATGTTATAACCTATACAAGCGTCTTCGAGGTTAAAACATGGCACTCGAAACATACATCTACCTACTTGATCATTGCAACTTCTTACCTGATCTTTTTCATCTTTTTCTTCATCCACATTCATTTTTTCATCAAGATACGACTTGGATGAAGACGATGTTGTTTCCAATGGGTCACTGTAGGATTTATTTACCCTAAAGTGATGAAAAAAACCACCATATGAGCCCCCACGTTTTGTGCCCAGGTTCATAAAAAGGATTAGATAATGCACATTTTACCCAAATCTGAATGACGTGCAAGGTGCTCAATATTTTCAACCAATTCAAGTTGCTCTGCTAAACACCAAACATACGTTTGCTGTGGTCACTACACACACATAGGATGGGAAAAACAATGGTACTTACTCCTCGGACGAAGTAGTTCTTTTGCTTAATCCGTTGTCGTTTTTCACAGTCTCAAAGTCACGCATCCAGCGTAGATGGTTGTGCTTGGCCCCGTAGCGCATATCCCCAAACCAACCAACAATGACAGTTCGCGACAGCTTTGTCATCTCCACCATTTGCGTGTATTCTTCGTTCGTGGGCCATTGCGTTCGCACAAATACAGACTTGAGAATGTTAAGTTGGCTTTGCGTCTTCTTTGTACTGAGTGGAGGAGATGACATTTTGGATTTTTTAGCATGTCCTGGACTGTCATTCGTTTTCTTGGATTCAGTGTCCTTTTTTGTGGTCATAGTCATTTTACCGTTTGCAGAGGAAGATTTATTGCGTTTCTCACTTTTTCGTTTGGCCTTTAATTTCCTTTTGAAAAACAACACTATCTCTTGTTGCTTCAGGTTAGTTACTTCCACAAGGCGCTTAACTTCTTCATTGCTGGGTTTTGGGTTCAGAGAGAAGCTGGCTGAAAGGACTTCCAACTGATACTTTGTCTTAAAGCGTCGCTGCCCTTGTGTGGTTTCCGCTGTTCTTGCTTCGAGGTTACCCAACATCGGTGCGTTATTCAACTGACCCTGTGGAAGTTTGACAGTTTTAAGCGGCATCGTGCTGCCATCTTCACTGTCTTCTTGGTCGTACCCATCATTGTCATCGTCGTCCTCTTCCAAGTCATCGCTCAAGTTGTCGTTCTCAAGAACAACCTCGATGCTGCCTTTGTCGGGTTCCAATGGTCCACTTTGATTGAGTTTTTCCATAAGTGAATTGTCTGGAACATTTTCAGTCCTCTCCACTTTCAAATGGCGAGATTCGGCAAGCTCCGCCGCGGCAACGTTCTCCTTTGGGATCCCGCGCTGCTGCCGCTGATCAGTGAACCAGGCCTCGACCTCACGACGAGTCAACTTTGTCTCTGTGTGCAGTCGTTCCAACTCGTCCTCCAAGAGCCACGGCCATTGCTCAAAGCTGGACTCCAGCACCGCCAACTGCACCTCCGTCTTTTCCTAAAGCGCAATTTTTAACATTGCTTCATTTACCGACCAATGCCCCACTTCCACTGCTTTTGTGGTTCAAATGTTTATATATATGTTCCTTATTTGTATTAGCCCATTTTTTTTTAACAATCTTTCAACAGACCAAAATATGCTGTCACAATAACCGAAAGGAAAAAGTAACATCATATGCACAGAAGCTATCATCCTGTGCCTCGTTTATACACACTAAAAGCTTTGCGCTGGCACCGACCGAAACCAGAGGGGCTGGGTCAGAAAGCCTGCATCCCACAACAGCCTGGTCGTGTCTCAACTGATCCCCATGAAATTCCAGGACCTCAGCCACTGGTTTCATTCTTAAGCCACGCTTCACATTTAAGTCATTTTATTTCCTGTAATTATAACTGCTGCAAATGTTACCTTTGGAATCAGAATCTTAATTTACAATAGAACAAATCTGATGAGCTACAAAGATAATGCTTTGCAGATATCCAGTCGGGGTGGGTGAGCATATTACATCAATTCAAATACAAGAAAGGTTAAACAATCTTGAACTTATCAAAAATGGTAAGATCATTTGTATCACTTCCCGATGCCCACCCCCCCCTCCTGGCCAAGCAGAGTAGTAGGGTCTGGAGGGATCAGACAGGTGGGGGATGAGGCCAAGAAGTGTCATGGATCACAAGAGCATGAAGACTCATGCCAAGGGTGTGGCTACTGTTCTGGGTTGTTATTGGACTGGCATGCGATTTGGTTCTAGGGTGGTAATGGAAATGAGGTACTAGTCTCCTCCCATGATTCTCAAATGAAAAGGCACAAGTGACTGGCACCAGGAAATGTTTCCCGGCCATACTGGCAACATGAACCCTACATGTTCTACAGTAAAATCTGGATTAATAAAAAAAACGCGAATGTTAATATGTAAATTAGGCCAACATGTAAGTATTGTTTACCTACCTAGAATGGGAGTAATGTGTGGTATATTTTTTTACTGTATCTTAAAGAAAATGGTTTACTTGACAATTTTATTTGCAGTCCCATAGGCACCAGATGCTTGACGAGAAGTGCATCAACCGAAACAGGACGTGTAAAAGGCGTGAATGGTTAGGCATCTCCGATTAGCACGGTTGACCGAGCGGTGCGAAAAAGTTTAACATGCATATATAGGCATCCCCAGTAATCGGTTCACGTATGATCGAGAGATAACTGTACATAAAAAATTCCAATGGAAAGATTTTGAAAAAGATGTCACCTTGAATTTAGGTGGAGTGAAATCAGGAAACATGTTTATGTAGTAGTTTCGCAGGTATGTTGATGCCGTTCTCACATTTTCAGATCTGCTTTGTGTTACATCACCATCACTCAAAACCTTTGGCAAGGCCGCTTCCTTGGCAGTTTTATTTTCCGATTCCTCCAACTTGATATCAGCAATGTTCACCGGAAGATTCACTGCAACACACACACATGTATATTAGAGGAACCTTAGTTTCCTCTGATAGTGGATTAACAAAAAAAACTGAATTGATTGAAAATGAGGTGTAAAGCTTTACTCGAATACAAAAGCACTTCAATAACATGGAACGTTATGTCTATATTACACAGCAATACTAATGTTTTCCACAACCAGAGTAAAAATCGCAAGGCAAGGATGGCTTTTAGTCAGAACAAATTATATCTCTCGATTTAAAGCTTTCGTGACTGCAGGGATTCATCTTCTTGGTTCTTTCGGTAAAGTCACGTAGAATGGAAATAATAAAATAATAAAAAACATAATAAAATAATTCTCACGACGTTTCGGCCACAACGCAAGCAGCCGTCCTCAGGTGAAGAACAGGTCTGTCGAGAAGACTGTCTTCTCGACAGACAGGTGAAGAACAGGTCTGTCGAGAAGACTGTCTTCTCGACAGACCTGTTCTTCACCTGAGGACGGCTGCTTGCGTTGTGGCCAAAACGTCGTGAGAATGATTTTATTATGCTTTATGTTTATTATTTTATTATTTCCATTCTACGCGACTTTACTGAAAGAACCAAGAAAATTTTATCTCTTTCACATGAGAAATATGCCAAATAATGAGTTACAACTGATTCAATATGAAAATAAAACTTACAAATACCGGCCTTAAAACACCTCAATGTACTATTAAAACATGTTAAAATATTATGAAACAAATCAAGCGCTGAGAAATATACATTGAATGTGGAGAATTGCACCACAAACGTCACAGTTACGAGTCACCGATGTATTAACAATGGAAAGAACAGTCCAATAAGATACAAGCTAAATATAATTACATCAAAAATAACTCTGGATTACTACAAGATGTTACAATTATTTAAAAAGTCAAGAAACTAAATTTATTTGGCAAGCCACTAAGGCAACCTCTTTATCCTCAACCCCACAATCACCGTTCCCAATATTCCAATAATAATAATCGTTCTATGTGCATCCCCGTTTGTGCGACAAGGTGAGCTTTGACATTACCTGAGTTTTGAGAGTCTGCTTGCTGATGCTGGAACCATTTAATCACCTGCGAAGGGGTCAGGTTTGTCTTCTTGCCGAGTTCTTGGCAATCCTGCTTGCTGGGATACGCATTTTTTATAAATAATTCTCGCAGAAGTGTTAACTGCTCTTGTGTTTTATGTTTGGATTTCTTGCCATTGGTGACACTTTGGGGCAAGTTCTCTTCTGCTTTGCGCTTCTTGTTCACAATTAAAGTATCGATCACGGGCTGTGGAGTTGGGACCACAACGGTGGTTTTTGTTTGGCTCGAACTCGATAGTTTATCTTCTGTTGCCGGCCTATTGTCATCACCGGTTTCTCTGCCATTTTGCGTGGATGAATTTTCAGAGGTGAAACCGGAGTCGCTCTGCACTCTTCCCGTGGTGCGCAAACAGTTTGTGACGAAGCTCTTTCTCTTTATCCTTTCCACCTCCTCGGGTGTCCAACTGATCCCATTGAGGAGACGCTGCGCCATAAACCACATAGCCACCTCCAACTCGGTGTGACCCGTGACGACCGCCAAATAGCAGATCTCGGTCCTCAGCGGGTAAGGGAACTTCCTTAGCGAATTAATAAGGTAAGGGTTTAGATCCATGGCAGGGTTGTAGGATGGAATACTGTTTGAAGGTATGGAGATGGTCAGTGCACACTCATCACTCAAAGAGCTGGTTTTGTCCAAGTCCTCATCCACACTGGACGCGGTGTGAACGTCTGAAAAATTATCCGAGATCTTTTTCAAGGGTTCTTTTTCCCCATTCAGTGTCGGGTCGGCTTTTGACGATTGTGGTGGAGGATGTCTTTGATACTCATGTTTTATGCTCAAGACAGGTTCTACTTCAGGTGGTTTTGGAGCAATTGTCTGATAAGTTCGAATCTTCAGCTCTTTCTGAATGGGGATTGTGTTTGCTCCTATAGCGGTTCTCAAAGGTTCAACATTCACGTTATTCTGAGCAATAATTTTGCTACTCAGTACATGAGCGTTGAGTAGCACTGCGTGATTCACTACATTGGCGGGAGATGTAGGTGTTGCCATATTCATCAGTCTAGTGTTTGCTGTAGATGTGTCATTCACCGCTTTAAAGTTAGGTGCAGATATTTTGTTATCCACCAAATGAGCTCTATGGGCTGATGATTTATTCGTCACCTCCAGTGCGTTCGACGCACGCGGAACATCAGAAGCTTTCCGAGGTTCATTTTTGCCAACTTGTTTACCTCGATGGTTCTCAACTTCATCATCGCTGGAATTGCCACTTATCATCCCACCGTCGAGCGGCAAAAATTGCGCACTTATTTCTTTGTTCTGTGCCAGTACATTGACCGCAACACGCTTGGCAGAAGAGTGTTCTCCCTTCTTGCACACTTCTGTTGCCGTCGTCTGCTTTGGCACCTCAGGTTCCTTGATGCAGGTAATGCAAAACATTATAAAAGTAAATAATTTGAAAAATGCTCATATATAGGTCAACACAGTGGTCAGTGACCAAGCTGCTTCCATGCATACCTTGTATAAAATGTGTCCAATCGTACTTTATACATTTTCCTCTTGCCGAGAAGGCATTTGTTGGTATTTTGTTGCAAACTTAATTTTGCTGCATCCTTGAAATCAAGAGCAGTGAGTGGGTCTTAAGATGCCGTTTTGGTTAGAAATTAATACTACACACACACGCCTGTTTAATTCGTATTATTAAGAGTGCATTTGTGCACAGCAAAGCAGCATCTTCACTATTTGCAAAATGAAGCGTTGTCCTCAGGCCGCCGCTAAGGCTTGGTTAGCGGACAGTCATCACAACTTTGTCTATAAACAAGCCTATAAGACCCGATATGTTATGTTACCAATGCCCCTTTTTCTTTGGAGGTACCAATTACTGGCAGTTATCTATTGCTTTAAATAATCCTTTTGCCACGTATCTACCATTACCCCAGTGAACACTCCTTGCCTGTTTTTTTAGGCTAAATAGGACTCTTGACAGATCTTTACAGTATCTCCAAAACATTATTTGGCTTTATTTTTGTCAATATAAAAGTTTGTAAATATAAAAGTTTGGAATATAATGCTTGCTCGTGAAAAAAATGGCAGATATAGGTGACAATGGGTTGGGTTAGTTCCGTTCATTAGAAAACTATATTGTGAAGTTAAATTTGCTTCCTGATGTAAACAAATGTTACCAATTTGGCTTTGTAGGTTAAGGTTGTAGAAAGTAGGCAATGAAAGTGCAAAATTTTAACATGTGAATTGATTTCCTCTTTTGTAAACGATCATAAATGCGTATGGTTTAATTTATTAGGACGTTTTCTATTTCAACTTTCCCTATGGAAAAGGGTGTGATGACCAAAGAAATGTGGTTTTATAAATTGTTTTCCAGGGCAATTGCATTAGAGGAATCGGGTGAGAGTAAAATATTGACTTAAAGCTTTCGTGACTGCAGGAATTCATATTCTATGGGTCTTCGGTAAAGTCACGTAGATAGGCTCAAAGAAAATAACAAAAAAATAACAAACTACGACGTTTCGATCACAACACAAGCGATCGTCATCAGGAGGAAAAAAGGGGGAGAAAGCTGCTGAGGTAGTCTGCCTTTAGTTATTTTTTGTTATTTCCTTTGAACCTATCTACGTGACTTTACCGAAAGACCCAAAGAATACTGGTGAGAGTAGTCCCAAAAAAATATTCACAGAGCCCTGGCAATCCAATGAAAAATGAAGGCCCACTCCATGCAGTGTCGGCCATGGGGCTCTGATGGACCACGTTGGTCAGCGAGTCGGATATCACTTGCTATAGATGTTAAACATGGCCAGAAGATCGAACTTAGGTCGCCGTTTTGAGAGTGCAGTGTGCCAACCACTGCATCACCGCTTCCTCCGACTGCGACTACATACCGAGTTAAAACGTAAATTGAAATTGCCTATTGGAGGTCACACTTCCATACATCGCTGTCTCGTAACAATTCCCATGCTACATTTATTGTCACAAGATTTTCTTCCCCACAAATAGCAACAACTTAAACATAGCATTAACTCAAGAGCTCTTGGAAAATAAAGTTAAAAGTAAAATGTTACCACAACTTTGAGGTTTACGCTTTATATGTACTCGTTTAATGGAAGAAAATTTACATTTTTAGAATCTTAAAAGTATAATACAGGAAAACCTGGCCAAACACGGTTTTATCATATGCGTTTTTCGATGACACGGTTTCCTAAGAGAGGTCTGTTTTCCAAAACACAGGGGTGGACGTTTCGGCTTTGCGCGGTTTTACGCTGCTTAAGATTCTCATCTCCACGTGTGTGGTGTGTCTGTACTCCTGCTGCGTGCGTGACATGGTTGTATTATACAATATTGTATATGATATCTTGTCACCATCTTCCCTCGTGCACACACATGCATGCGGTCTCATTTTTTTTATTCTGGCCCCAAAGTGTAAGTTGAATGGTGGTGATTGTAGTAAAAAAAAGCAGAGAAAGTGCACTTTTTGCACCAGTTATTTTGTGAGCTAGGTTTTGCAAGAGGTGAGAGTGCTGCATCCATTAGAGGGTACCAATGGGGTGAATGAATCGACTTTGAGAGAACAATTAAAATAATCGTAGAACTAGACAACAATCCCATGAGAACATCACCTTCACCGCGAGTTTAAAAACATCACTTTCACTTATTTTAATTTATTCCACGTATTCATAAGATTTTATTCTATTTATACGTACAGGAATACCTTGCACTTTCGTCTGGTTAGGGACCAGAGCATAGACAAATGTCAAAAATGGACGAATGTTTAGCCTTGCTCATTAAGTTTGATTATGTCAATCTTTTCTTGCAAATTGAGAACCTTATAGGTTATTTTAGCTTCACCATCACCACACTTAGGACTCATTATGAATATATTAAAGCACAAAAAATAAGTATTTTACAGTAATCACAAAAATAAGCACAGTATGAATACTGTACACGTGTTTTATGATCATGAAAATAACTATGAACACACTGTAGTATTATACTGTTTTTCACTAAAATTATGATGAATTGTTTACAGTATAATCACAGAAATAAGTACAGTATTTATAATATGAACACAAATATAAGAGATGCTCACTGAACGACTTCTATTCAAAGACTGAACGAAAAAGATTGCGCGTGGCGCGAACGTCGTGGAAGGTTTGGGATGAAATCCGTCGAATGAGGAAAGCACGTGGACGACATTTGAAATGTGGTTATAATTGAAAACGGCCGAAAGAGTGAAATTCAAGTGGACGAAAGTCAAGATATCGCTGTACATTTTGATTTTTTTAACGTGATACCAAGTGGGGGGGTAAAAAAATTATTAGGAACATAATACCCTGGTGTACGGCGAAGTTTTCCTCTTACGTGGAATGGAAGACAAGTGTGTGTAGCAGCTGCAGTTAGAATTTACCTTTTCTGTCCGGACGCGAGAGGGATGGGAGGCGGCATTGTGCTCCATAAAGCCTTCATAGCTTGGCGTGCGAAACTTGCATTGGCGGCACACGTAGATCGGATTGGGCACCGCGGTGGGATGCGCTCTCTTTAAATGGTCCGTAAAGGCTGGCAGGCCTTGCGCTTGGAAGGAGCAGTGCTTGCACACGTAAGTTATCCGAACATCGGTTTTCACCAATGGATGTTCTTTAATGTTCTTTGCAAGCTCCCAGTCTGCATTATTTCTATCACTGGACCTTGCCTCTGGATACTTAAAAGTTGCTCCGGTAATTTCGACATCGTCCACATCCGTGTCATCAATAAGAATCACTGCATGCGGTGACTTCCTTTGCCTTCCCATCTATGGTTGAAGAACAATTAAAAACACACATGACAGAAAAAAAACTGTGCATAAAAATATTATTCTAAATTTAAAAACAACATGTTAATCCAAAGCTGTATACAGTTATGTATATTTTAAAATATAAACACACACGAGCTTTAACGACCAATATTATGATTCATAATAGTTTTTATTTAGATTGCTGGTGTTTTAATTCGTTACATTATAATAAAAAATGAGTTGATGACGTGCAAATGGTACAAGTTGGTTAGTTGTTATAAATTCAGCAGTTCAACTGAGCCGAAAGCTATAAAGTGAGTGGTTCCCGAAACGTAATTATAAATGATTTAATCAACCATATTATATAACACCTAAATTCCTCACGAGCCAACTCCTGCCATTATTAAATTACATTACGTGCATAACTGCCAATGATGACATGGCATCTACTTAAGGACCCGGATCAGGCAGCACTTTCACCTGAGATCTGAGCTCTGTTAACAACCTGATGATGCTGGATGTAATCTCCAGTGAAACCACTGTACACTCATGAAAATTTTGCGCGGTGACGCTTCAAACACCATCATGCTGACTGGTTATAAATGTGGCACATTTGATCGTGACATTAATGAATTGGTTGTCGTATGGAGGATCGTTTACACGCATTTTACATGACCAAACCCAAAATATAGCAATTATGAATCATATTCTTTTTTAATGTTACGAAGTGCAATTGTGCAAAAACAAAACATCTCTGAAAAAATATAATACATAAAACATTTCAAATACACGAAATTTAGTTTACATATTTTTCGCCAATACAGTACAAAATATTGAAATTACTGCATAATGCAAGCACTTAAAATGGACAAACGACTGAAATGGTTGGAAACGTAAATTTTCTCAAAGTATCATCTTCAATCATGGAACGGTTGACAGGACCCCATGGATACAAGTTTATATTTGAGATTGTGATCCAAAGAAAGTCATGGATGGACCTGAGATTTTACGGAACAATTGCGGCATACCAATGCCCACTGGAATGGATCGAAACAGGGCAGTCACGGGGAGAGGTTCTAACGTACCAATGTACAATGAAAACTGATTCTGCCATCACATGAATTAGATCTTGAAGCTTTGTCGTGGCAATTTCATTTAAGAAATCAAATACCCCCACAAATGGCATAGGTCACTTTCAATCCACTGGTGGATAAAGGTATCGCCACGACATCCCACGTGATCATTTGATGCCACATCCCATGTGGCTTCTGAGGATGAGATGATCTCTGCGGTGGTGTTTGTACTCTAGGGCAGTGGTTCTCAAACGGGGGTACACAGAACCCTGGGGGTACGTGAAGTGAATTATAAATGTTAAATTATAATCATACATGAGTCATTGGTGAATAAGCATGCATGAATCTGGCAATATAAAATAAATATGATAAAATGTTAACACATATGGTAATGTAGAACGATATAATATACCTTTTTTAAACTCATTGGACGCAAACAGTAGTTTTAAAGAGTAACCAGCGGCGAGCGTAAAATAAATGACGTTATATATGCAGAGCATCCGTTGCATTTTTGTATTCACTTGTAGTTTCTAGCTACTTAGGATGCCTACGTGACTTTACCGAAAGAACCAAAGAGTATGCTTAAAATATTCCTGTTCATTATACATACCGTTATTTCTCAGAACCATGTTGGGTCAGGCAAGGGAGTACTCGGTTGAAACAAAATTTTACAAGGGGTACAGTCGCCAACAAAGGCTAAGAACCACTGCTCCAGGGCTTGTTCCACCCTTTTCCTGTCACTCTGCCCATCAGCTAGTATCCCTTCATGGGAGGCGTGTACTACTGAAGCCCATTAATTTTCCTGAATAATAAACATCTCTTCAATTCGAATTTGCTCATCCACATTTTACTCTGATGAAAAAAGAATAGGCTTCACCCTTTCCATCAAGAACACGTGTTAAGATTTTCAAACACCAAATAGACACCTCTTACAAGTCTGCATTAACCACACACAGGCGTGTCTTTGCTGAATGAGCATTCTTTATGCAAATTCGTGTTATAACGAGCAATATGAATTGAGCCCGATTTGTTCGCAAAACGAGCAAATGTTCATTTAACGAGCGGAAACCGATGGCTCAAATGCGTGTTTGGTCGTGAGGGAAATGGGCCTCGTGGTAGCAGTGTAATGGGTGGGCATGGAGAGCGGCAGCGTAAAAGTTCGCGCGCAGCGCCACATACCCGGCGACCCAAGTTAAATTCCGGCTCACGGCCAACACCAGCGACGATTATCTGAACCGGTCCTGAGTCTCCGCTAGGTCGACTCAGCCTGCTGCAGTGTATAAACATGACCACTAGGGGTGTACGGGCGTGGTACTGGCTACCCACCCCTCGTGTGCCGAACTGGCCTTCGTAGGTGCTCGCCAAAAGCAATTGCCCCAAGTCTGTTAAGGCTATATGGGGGTTATTAATGTGGTCGCTATTGCATTTCATGTTTTATGATTTTTTTTGTATTTCTCATGTAATGAAAAGTTGTTCAAGAAAGGAACATTTTGGGGTTGAAACGTAGCTCAGCAGTTTTTGCTGAACGTATCTAGCTCGTTAAGCGAGACATGCCCGTACCGACAAAAAAATGGGTCCCATCGATGTTACTCTTTTTATCTGTAATTCTAAGCACGCACCTCTCCATGTTTCCCTGCACACTTGAGCTCATTACATTTTCTTTTGTCAGTTCACGTTTCTGATCCACGTCATGACTGGTAACGTCCATAGATTTAAAAAGGTCTTCTGGACAAATTATTTACCATTATGAAATACCCCCGCACGAGTCTTTTTCAACATTTTGATCCCAGTGTGCCTTCAAAGATTGAAAACCTGAAGGCGCGCACCTAGGAAGACACACCGAGGAACAGGCAGGCTTCGCCTAGCTTTCAAGATGCGTTTCCCGGAGACGTGAGCGCTAATCGAATCAGCGCAATAAGGAGTCATACTATTGTATGGGGATGCGTTCCCCACAAGCATTATTCCTTTCATACGAGTAGTAGATGAACACTTCATTGGGGTATCGGTAAGTACTAATACAATTGGAAAATATTTCACAAAGAAAAATATGTATTTATTAAAACGTCAGTATTATGTACTGTATTCACGAGTGCATTCTAGTGTACTCCTACAAGGTACCGGTAGGGGACGAGGATGGAGAGACTGCTGCGCTGCTAATCCGGGGCATTCTCAGAGACAGCTCCAGGACCTCGGTGATCTAAGCGATGTCCTCAGCCTAAATTTGTGGCGAGGTTTCTTTTAGGTGAGCCTGAGACTCTATCCTAGTCTTGTGATTTCTCATCTGTTTCTTAATTTTTAGGGGGAAATGTTCAAGGACATAGAGCACTATAACAAATCAGGGTTCTACCGAGTCGCGCTAAACGAGGTCTGCCTGTACACTCAGATGTGACATCCAGTAGTATTCTAATTTGATTTCAAAATTTCTTCCCCCCCCACACCCTATTTTATTTTGCTGAACAAAAGATAAAATGGCACCGCTCCAGGAAGTAGGGCCAGAGCACAAAAAAAATACGCGTAGACCCTACCAGGAAACGAGTCGCATATCCCCCAAAAGTACTTAGTACAAAACCCAGTAATCTACGCGTCCCAACCATTTCACAAATATGGATGCATATCAGTGGTTGCTAGGGATGACGTCATCACTCCCATTACACCAGCCAATCAGCTACTAGAAAATCAATCCTGATGCAACACAGCTTCCGTTATTGCATCATTTCCCTGTGCAACATGACCACTGTCATATCAACGTCTTGACGGAGGGTAAGTTGTACGTTGTTTTAAAAAGTAATGATTGTGTACATATATTTGTGCGAGTGTATGAGAGTGCGTGTAATTGTTACTTTGTGTAAATTGTATGTGATGGTATACGCGTTTGTGCGTGTTTGCGCAGGCATGTTTCGATGTAATTGTAAACTTAAGGTTGCTGTACCACTCTTACGTCTCACAGAAATGCATTCTCGTTGCCTATATCCGGTAGAGAATCAAAAACGGGAGAAATCTTGGCCTACGCAATTTATAACCGCGCAAGCCGTTCGGTACCCGGGCGCCAGATTCTTCGTGGACCTCGCCGCTGCCAAATTGGAGCAGCGCAAAAAGACATTTCAAAAGTATCGTCCTTCAAACTAATGCCCTAACTTTTCCCAATGACGAGGGGAAAAGCAGTCAACATTAAAATTCAAGTTTCCAAAGATTAAATTTCAACCCAAACCAAAATATTTCAATTTGGCCTCGTGGACCTCAGACATAGCAACCGCCATTTTGTGTCAGTTGGCAGCCATTAGGAAGCATAAGGGGTGCAACACTTTCATTAGATCTTCAGCACTTCAACAGCCGTGGTACCTTTTTTTAAACACAAGATTCTTTTATTTGCCTTCTTAAGAATGTGCAACGCCAGAAAACACCCCCCACCACCACAACCACCACATTCCATCCCTCGTAAATATATAAAAAAAAAACACGCAAGAGTCTCCTTTTACCCCCCTCGCCTCGCAACAATCTAGACCGGGCCTCAGGCTTGGGGCAGCACTTTCCTCGCGAGCGTTTTTAAATAAATTAATCCCCACACACGGCACACGGGGAATCAAGACAACAAATAAACACGGCGATATAAACCCTCTCCATCCCCCACCCCCGCCGACTGACGCGTTAATTCACAGGCGTAACACGAAGCAGTCTCGTACCTTCATCGCGGCTGCGTCTTCTTCGCTGGTGACGGACCCCGCCATGTTGAGGCGATTCGCCTCTTCTCTTTGTCTTCGCTCGGTCTTTTCCCCCCTTAACCTTCACCACCACCACCACCGGCTACATCGCAAACCTTTGCACGAACGGCGCTTCTAAACGAGGGCGAACATTACTAAAAAAAAAATTCGCGCGCGAACGCCTCACAAAAGTCTGTGCCGCAGTTTTAAAAAAAAATGTTTTAATTACAGAAAACAACCACCACCACCCCCAATCCTGTCAACTAGGTCACGTAATGTGATCGATTTGCGAACACGGCAAAAGCGCGCGAAGATGCAGCCGCGAGTTTGCTTTGTAATCACCCCCCCCCCACACAACCACCACCTCCTCCTCCCTCCTTAAGGCGACTAACTTTGTTATTCCCCCTCAAACCTTCGCCTCCATTTCTCCACCACCACCACCAACAGCAACGAGGAGGAGAACAGCGGCCTCAAAGGAAGACTGAGAGGGGAGGGCGGCCAATGGCAACGAACGCGGCAAGATTCACGACCATAAAAGAACGAGGTGGGTGATTAGAGAGTTAGAGAGGGCGAAGTTGAGGCGAGTGGTGGTTCGGGGCAATGAAGAGGGACGAGTTCACGCGAAGCCGGCGGGTTACCTACATGAGGAGAGGCCTCCCCCTCACGCACTCACTCCCTGTGTGTGTGTGTCGCTGCCTACGTCACGTCCTGCTCTTAAAGGGACACCAGCACCACGCTGCCCGCACGCTACCAACAACGAACAACATTCATTCTAGATTTGAAGCTTTCGTGACTGCAAGGAATCATATTCTTAGGTTTTTTCGGTAAAGTCACGTAGGTAAAACATCAAAATTTTCATTAATTTTCATTAATTTTGATGTTTTACCTACGTGACTTTACCGAAAAAACCTAAGAATATAGAACAACATTCAGTTCAATTTCATTTATTTGGTGGTCTTGCCCTGTGAGCCATTCGGAGCTTGAATCGGGTACAACCGCAATAAAAAACTAAAACGTGAACAAGAAAACATCTTAAAGTGACTGTGTGACTATGGGCTAATAGAAATCCGAGGAAAGACAGCAAAATATTGCAGAAAAAGCACCGCACACCAACGCTGTGTGCAAACATCCCAGTGGGATGCAAGTCAAACAACAATAATCACAAGACAACTTAGATTAAGGCCGTCAGTCTAACTCCGTACTACAACAAACAAACATTGCCAAACCAAAAAACTTTCGAAATCACCAAAATAAAGCCATAAAAGCAATGTAACAGTGATAATAGAAACTAGATTTGAAGTTTTCGTGACTGCAGGGATCCATACTCTTTGGGTCTTTCGGTAAATTCACGTAGGTATATTTTTATATATATAATGACAACATGCGTTACAATTATATATAGTACACATCAATCTCAACGTTCATCCTACAAAGTTCCATCACAAGGGAGAAACACAAACAAATAGACACAAACATTGTTTTCCCCGTATTGAAACGGCTGTATGCCGTATAGACCTGAAAACCCAATTTCCACGTACAAGAATACGGGTAAACCGTATGGATTGACAGGTATTGTATAGTGTAGTAGTGTAGTGTATAGTAATGTGTAAAGTAGTGTAGTGTATAATGTATAGTAGTGTATAGTGTATAGCAAACATGTCAACCCCTTATCAGTGCCCTACCTTACTACAGACCAATTCAGACCTTATTGGTCACGCCGTGCCCTTATCAATCTCAACGTTCATCCTACAAAGTTCCATCACAAGGGAGAAACACAAACAAATGTCTATGTTTTTGCCCGTATTGAAACGACTGTATCTAGTATGGACCTCAAAAGTCAATTTGCCTGTACAAGAATACGGGTTAAACCGTCTGGGTTGACACGGTATGTGACTGAGATGAGTGGTAGATGCACCAGCTGTGACCACCAGCACCACCAACTCCGGCACGTTGTGCAAAGACAAATATCAACGGTTTTATTACCTTTCGATTTAAAGCTTTCGTGACTGCAGGGATTCATCTTCTTGGTTCTTTCGGTAAAGTCACGTAGAATGGAAATAATAAAATAATAAAAATAAAACATAATTAAATAATTCTCACGACGTTTCGGCCACAACGCAAGCAGCCGTCCTCAGGTGAAGAACATGTCTGTCCATTCTACGTGACTTTACTGAAAGAACCAAGAAGAGGTTTTATTACCTTTTATTTTTGTTGAATTTGATTTGCTGGACGCGTTGTATGTGAAGGCCGGGGAGAGTTGAAATCTTATGCGTTGTATTTTTGTCCTGTATTGTTAATTCATGTCAATTCACCATAGGTTCATGGGGGGATGGAATGGAATAGGTCGTAATTCATGTTTTAAAACAAATACGTGCATTATGATACAATGTGGTCGTGGGAAATGGTATCATGTATATTTGTTTCGTTCGAACCTCTTGATGTGTACTGTCTGAGAACTATATAAGGTAAGGAAATTGTTAATGCGGGGACTATGTAAACTTTTTGCTACGTACGGTGCGAAAGAAGTTCATTGTAACGCGTGTTGTCATTCGCGACTGATATGATTCAAAACTGTTTTTTTTTGGAGGTCAACTCGCGTAAATAAATGTTCGTATCGTCCACCATTGCACAGCACGTAAAGTTGTTGGGGTATAATAAATAAACCGTAGCCAACTTAACGCTTCACCGCTTCGGCAACATCGGTGATATTGGCGAGCGATCTCACAACGTGCGATGATGATGATGATCTTTAATAGTTGACACTGGGTGGTGGACGAGGATGGTAAACCACGCATTTTATTTACGCGATATCACCGAGCTAAATTTTTTAGTAATTATGAATGCAGAAGTTAACGTCGGAGAAGGTTGAAGTTTTTTCGGGATTTTAATTCGTCAGATCCAACTTTATATCCACCGCCAGTTTACAGTTATCTCATCTGGGATGATTTAAACGCTAATATTTAACCACACATCAATGTAATCAATAGTCTTAATTGCTCATAATTTAAATCAGTGTAAATCCTGAACTAGAACGTGTTTAATCGGGTTGTTAGAAGCGGTACACGATCTCTAATTCAAGTGAGGAGATCGGATAATAGTCACGAGGCAATCAATGTTCGTTTAACAGCACGTCTTTTAGATTCTCTGTAAATCTATATTTTTAATTACCTTCATCAAGTCACGCAAAGACTAAGTACGATCTAAAATCAAGACCAAAATCACCACCGTGTTATTCTTTAATGTGGCGTTTTGAGATAATTCCAGTGGCGGCAGGCTCTACAATTGCGTTTAACGTTTCCACGGGGAGCATCCGTGGGACAACTTAGCCGAGTTAAGTCGGAATCTTCTTTGTTCTACCAGAGTATGCGTGTTGGTGGTGCTGTTGTTAGTGGGCAGTCATCGGTGACATTAACAGTGCGCCCGATGGATTTGCGATTTGGCGAGAAGCCCCCTTCTTCATTGATCGTTCCGTTCATGGAGTAAAATATCCTCCTCATTTATTTTTTTTTTCGGTAAAGTCACGTAGGTAAAAAAATGAAAATAAATTTAATTACGAGATATCAACCATTTCAAACGTCGTGATTTAATTTTTCAAACGTCGTGATTTTATTTTTCCTTTTTTTTTTTACCTACGTGACTTTACCGAAAAAACCAAAGAGTGTGGACCATTGCAGTCACAAAAACTTCAAATCTAGAATCTTCCTCACTTGTTGTTGGATAACGATTTGCGAGCGATCATCACAGCCCGTTCTCCTTCGAGGGCTCTCACCATTACCGCACTGCATTTAAACGGAGCCCAACCTTAAATTCTTATTGGGCCAATAATAATAATGACAAAAATAATGGTGACTTAAAACTTTCGTGACTGCAGGAAGTCATATTCTTGTTTCTTTCGGTAAAGTCAGCTAGATCGAAAATCGAAATAAAATAATTATAATTTTTACTGTTTATTTTATTTGTATTTTCTATCTTACGTGATTTAAAATGAAAGAAAAATTATAAAAATATTTTTAATTTAATTTTATTTTCTATCTACGTGACTTTACCGAAAGAACCAAAAATATGAATATAAAAATAATGGTGCCGCTTCACAGTTGCGAGACAATATTTAACACCAATTTTTTTTATTTTTTTAGAAAATCGCTAAAATACGGTAACGTCGACTGAGCAAGCCACGTGCTGAACCAACTCTTGTAGGATTCAATCTCGATTTGAAGCTTTCGTGACTGCAGGAATCCATACTCTTTGGTTATTTCGGTAAAGTCACGTAGGTATAAAATAAAATAAATCACGACGTTTCGGGCGCAACACAAGCATCCGTCATCAGGTCTTGTGGGATTGACGGCGGTGATCCACCGTTCGCTGTTAAAAGGGGTAGAGCCTTTCTAAATGTGCCCTGCTGCCAGGCGCCTTTAAGAGCCTCGCTGGCCGACGTTATTTATTTCATTACATTCGACGCTGGGAATTTTCTCCGCCTCCTCCGGTCCCGTGTGTTCCCCCCCTTCTCCATCTGTCACAGCAGCCGCAGCCAGCCAGCCCCCAACGCCGCCGCCTTTCTCGATCTTTCTATCCAGGGCACCAACAACCAAAAAAAACCTCCCCCACGCAATTGCGTAGCGAGAGGCGTGGTTTGCTTCTGGCCAATAGCAAGCGGGCACGTCTTCGCCTGCCGACCATCGGCAAACCCAAGCACCCGTCCGAGCGAGAGGAGGGCCAGCCCCCGACCATCGTGCGTTAAGGAGTGGTTTTATTGGCACGCCTCACAAGGCGACAGGTCGACTGGTCCCCCGTCCCCCTCCCGCCATTTGGTAGGGTTCTTGCTGTCTCACCCGGCCCGGAAAACAGCCCCCGTTCTCATCAGGTCAGGGCAAGAATCGGTGATTTTAGAGAACGATGTTTCGCACATGATGGGGACAGGCTGCCCTGTCGGTCGTGGTAAGACTCCCCGGAGACCTTCCCGAGCTGTTAACCCTTTTATGATTCAGAGGTCTTTGAATGACAAGGTATTTTAGTAGTTTGGACCTTGTTTGTCTGACCCATATGTCGTCACTATATATATATGGCTAGGATGCCTGGCTTGAAAATATTTTTTTGCCAAATTGATTTTCTGCTCATTCACATTTGGACGGTGCTCATCTCCTGTTTACATCCCTGAGCCAGTGGTGGAAATTCCCCGTTCCTATGGCAGGGTTGAGTCCACAGAACAACTACTGTTGGATTTGACCATACTTCATACTGGTCAACGTGGGTTGGTGAAGTGGAGCGCCCACAACCATTTCAGGCATCACTTATATTTATCAGCGTCTGGAAATGTAACTGAGATTGCCGAGTTCATGGTGCAACGTGCTGGTGGTCATGTTTACGGTACAAGAGATTAGTTGCAAGTGCTCTAGTAATCGAGGAGGGGTTTACTAATACCAGTGAGGGCCTGGGGGTGTGGGTGGAAGAGATGTAATTAGATACCGGAGACTAATCCTGAGACAAGAGATGGAACCTGGCAGGAAAACATTCTGAAACGGACGCAACGAGACTTATTTCCTAGTGTGCCACCATTCATAAGAAAGGACCCTACCACGTCACAGCTTTGTCACCCTTGGGTGCTCAAGGTTGCCCTTCTCACTCCCTACTGCCCAATAGGGCTTCTGCCCACGCACCCCCACTTATCCTGTATTGGCAC